TAATAACATGAAATTAAATAAATAAATAAATAAGTAAAGAAATAAATAAACACAGGTTTTTATAATTATATGGAAAATATTAAAACTTTTTCCCTACTTTGGCAACCTCTATAGGCTAGAGATATTGATTGATGAAAGAATTGATCTTTTAAAATTTGAGTGTTTTGTTATCTTGTTTTTTTTTTTCAAAATAAATGTTTAATGGTTAAATAATATTTTCCAAATTTACTGTAGCTACTTCATTTAAATTTTAATTAATTGTTCATATATTTCTTTATGTATGAACTATAGTTTAAAAAATCTTCTTTATATAATTAGAAAAAATATCGACAAAAATTCTGGTATAATTAACTAATGTTAGTACTGATACAGAGCCATCATAAATGTTTACAAGCCACGTGACCGCCGAATTTAGGCAACTCAACATTGCAGAATTGGTACTGGTAATGAAAATTCCCTAAATCTTGGCGTTATCAGTATTAATGATTGGTTTAGAATCGAGAGAATACGATCGCTGATCGATTGAATAGTATCTCGTAGAAAATGGCACCAATCACGGCCGATAAAAAATTAATGAAAGAAAATAATAAAATTCACGTGGTTTTGTATAATCTTATGATTGATGTAATGAAAGACAGATGTACATTTTGTAAAATTTTTGTTGAAATTCACATAATTTTTTAGTTTGGTGCAATTTTACAAGTTACGCATCAAATTTAGTAAAGGAAAAAGTATTAAGAAAAAAACTCTTCATCATAAGTCAAGAGAAAAATTAAATAATTTTTATAGTTACACCTTTTTTAAAAATCCAGTCCAGTATAACTAACCAAGTAAGTTTCTCTCTCATAAACTGGACCAAATCCTACCAGATCTAGCTCACTCTGTACATCCGTGAGTAGGATAGGATTGAATTAAAACATTATTAGCACTGCCTAAGCCGCAAGTATACCTTGGGGATCTGGTAATGCCCCACAAATTGCTTTTCTTGTAAGCTCCAGTAAGCCGAATAAATAACAGATGTATATATAGGGTCAGTTCCCTCCCCACTTGGACTGTCGGAAAAGATATCATATTTAAATGTTTATATGGAAAGATATACAGTTTGTTTTCTGACGGTGATATTATCTGCATTAAGTGTTTTAGGGAGAGGAAGAGCAATTTTCAAAAGAAATACCCTGTGAAATGTTTGTTAAATATTTGTCCCACAGCCCGACAAAATTTTAAACCAGAAATCAGACTTCACTTTTCTAAAGCATACGAAGAATCCTAATCCAACCTCAGAAACATGGTTTTTCACTATATTTAAGGAGGTGCTACACCACGCGGTAATTTTCCCTTACAAAATTCGCTATATGGCGTTCTTTTTGACTCGTTAGAATATCTTCTTTTCGCTTCAAGAAATCGTCTGTTAAATAAATGTTTTAAACAGGTGCGTTTTAAATGCTGCCACGCTAATTCGTGACGTCATTTAGTGCGATCGAGATTCAAGGAGATGAATGACAGGAACAGAACGGTCTGACAGCAGAAGTAACAAGAGTCTAGAGACTCTAGAGACAAATTCACTTGCGTCGAGACATTTCCGCATTTCTCTAGATTAAGTATCGTCTTGTTAACACAGGAAATGTACACTAGATGGCATACGGTCGCGAAGCACGTTTTGTTCTCCTATGTATTAAATATTAAAGACACAAAATTTTTAACATAATTTTAAACATCTATAATTAATTTAGAACATTAAATAAATTAATTTTTCTACCACTGTTAGAAGAAATTAAATTTTTAAGCAAGTTATGTCTATTGAGTGACACATGATTTCTACAGGTTCCTCAGATGTTCCTTTTTCTTTCGTTGTTCCATCAGATTCACTGGATCCGCTATTTTGAATTTTGTAATTCTGACTTCAGATTGGTAATTCTCTCTTATTGAGTCTCCACATGATGCTACTCAATTTCCGAATATCGACGATATCCAAACTAATTCATTTTAATATAGAATTTCTCTTAGAGGAAAGAAGATATTCGAACGATTCGAATTGGATTTTGAAGGGAAAGAGTTTCAGGTGACATACCTACCTAACGAGTTTTGCGAGGAAACATTACCTCGGGATGTAACATAACATCAAGTATAGACAAGACAATATTATGATCTCGAAAACCTGACGTGATGGGGCACTTATGAGGTCGATTTCTTCGGGAAAGTATTGCCCGGTTTCTGGTAAAGGTTAGTTACATTTTGTCGGCCTGTGTTATTTTTAGTATTTTAAAGGCAAATATGAAAAATGACAAATAATTACATTTCCTTTTTTTATCACAGCTTATACAGCTCAACTACTGACGTTGTGCTAAAATTCAAAGCTGCGGATCGACCGTGAATGGTTCTCAATCAACAGAGCACCAGCTTTGTTTTAGTCATCGAAGTGTAGATATCCTGAGGGCAAGGAAGAAAGTTGTTTACGTCTGAGAACTGTTTGATGTTTCAATAACAATATTATTAGTAAATTCTCAAAGATCAACAGGTATTCAGATTTTATTCGGAACATCAAAATATCGGAAAAAAATGTGAGTTATTGAAAAATTTATTAGATAAAACTTGCTGCTATTGAAGAATTAAATATTTGCCGCTTATTTCTGGTACTCCCTATAGACAGGATGTCTTAATGCATTTATTGAACCAAGTGCTAATATTGACCGTGAACAAACTCAGAGAGTGAGAAACGGTGTGGAAGAGGATCCTGGTACCAGTACTCGAAAATTAGCCACAATATTTCAAATATGTCATATGCTGTAAAAATCGGGCATGTAAACATATTATTTACTTATTTTTGTGTATTTCATTTATATTGATTACTGCTTGAGTTTTATGTTAGATTACTTGCTAAATACTGTTTCATAGTTTATCAATTTTAAAAGAATTAAATCTTCTTTTATTTGGAATGATAGGGTTCTGGGCGTACACCCAGTCAATAAAAGTATCGCCCTAAAGAGCAGTACCTCACAGCAGGTGGTGTGGAAATTTGCTTTTTAATAATCTTTCTTTTAAATTATGAAATTTGACAACAATGCATAGCCCATTTCCCAATTGCGCATGCGCTGAGACTAACGAACGCCGTTATTTGAGGTCACTCTAGCTTATCCAGCGGCGGAGTATAAAAATTATTAAAAAAAGTTTAAAAAAAAGTTTTAACTACGGAATTTCAAAAAATAAACGATTGATACGTGTTTCTAAAGGCCAAAAATAACCTATATATGACTCCCATTCAAGGTTACATCCTGTATATATAACATAACAATCGTACGATGCTCTAAGTTTTGAGAGAGTTCTGTATTCTGGATTAAATCTAAGCACCCTATAAATACAGGGTCGGAAAGTCCCCATGGTTCATCGGCCGTTACTTGAGAGCGATAAAGTAAGTCATAGAAATCCGCGCGATAGAGAAGGATGGCTATAATGAAGGCGTCTCATAGTCACCGCCCGTTTCGCCCTTCCACAAATAAGATCCACTTCCACTTGTAATTACTTATACAATTTCGACTTCGGTATTCCGATATGTTAATACCATCCGTTCACAGAGGGCAGCACAACGCGTAACAAAGAAAACTTTTTACAGTAGCTATTAGATACCTCTGTTTGTAAATCTAGTGACCTTGTTTCCCCTACTGAGAAGTTATTCAAATGGAGTATCGGGCTCAGCTGCATTTAAAGTTCATTTAGTTGTTATTTAAGTATACTTTTTAAAATGACTTAAAAATCCCAAGAAATAAAGCAAAATTCCCTATTTCCCCAATTCCAAAAAAATCTGTAGATCTGGCATCACTCCCTAGGGCTGCCCTCTGTTGATTGTATTAACAACGGAATACGAAGTCGGAATTGTATAAGTAGTGACATCTATTACAGAAAAGGCAAACAACAAAAACAAAGATGACCACCGGTCGCTGAATTACAAGTGGAAGTGGATCTTATTTCTGGAAGGGCGAAACGGGCGGTGACTAAGAGACGCCTTCATTATAGCCATCCTTCTCTATCGCAAGGACTTCTATCACTTACTTTATGGCTCTCACGTAACGGCCGATGAACCATGGGGACTTTCCGACATTGTATATACAGATATAATTTATTGTCCAAAAATCATGGCACTATTATCACTTATCAGTGATAGTGGTTGAACGTGAGCGTCCTTTTTTAACTAAGAGATGAAAAGATAATTTACAAACACTGTAATTGGAAATATTCTATTCAAATTTGTTTCTTTCGAACATTAAATAATGTCTTTCACAGTCGTTCTACAATAGCGAGTACGAAATCTGTATCATCAACTATTTTTGAGTGGTTTCCTGACTGCTTCACATTCGATTTTCGAAAAGAGTAGAACTTTTGATAGTTGCTTTAGAAAAAAAATGTTCCTTTTTTGTTTTGTTTAATTTGAAGACAAGCGCTATGATATATTCATATTTAAGAGGAACAGAAGAAATTACGAAACGTCACATCGTTAACTGTAATACTTAAGTCAGAAACAGTGACAAGTACTACTTTCTTTTTCTTAAAATAATTGTTTTCACAAGGAATGTACAGTTAAGGAGTCGGACCTTTTGTAAATTTAGACAGACCATTTACTTTTAATTTTTTTGACGAAAGTCATCTAAAATCATGACTGTTATCAGTAGTAGATAGTGTTTGATTGTCAACGTTTCTGTAAATATTCGAAGTTAGATAACTTTTTAATTGCTCTCCATTGTACTAAAAATGAAATATGTATCTTCAACTGCTTTTAAGTGAAATTGTTGAACAATTTTTTAGTTGGTTGCCACGGCGCGGCGTCGATTTAGACTTCTTGACATTTCGAGAGACAGATCCGTTCACTTCTTCAGAAGAAGAGAGTGAATTTATTTCGAATTAATTTTTGCACACAAATTCATTGAATGGATATCTAATAATTAACTTAAAAATACGTACTTCTTTCTTTTTAGTTCAAATAATTTTTGTCAATCACACAAGATACTTACAGCTAGGAGGCCGTGGCACGAATTCGTATATAGCTTTAAATCCCTTGTCTTCAATATTGTCGTCAGATTTAAAGTGGATCCACAGGTGTCGATCAGACGACGTGATTAAAGGGGGGAAGTTCTCCCCGCAGAATGGATGTTCTTTTATCTTATTATAGCCGTGGCGTCCGTCCCTGATCTCCAGGAAGTCGTTCATGCAGTTCGTACTGTGCTCAATCCGAAAGTAATCCCTGAAATCCAGCTTGATCAGATGCTGTGACGGAGCTGCAACAAAAACATTTTTGTTTAATTTGTTCGGGAAATACACAGAAAAATGTAATCGTGAATTAAGAATATATGTATATATTTAGGATTTTTTTAAATGTCATATGTATATCTTATATGAATTGTCGATGTAAAATTTTATATTCAGAAGTAAAAGAAGTCAATGTAGTTTCCGATCCCCGTAGCGTTTTAGTGATGTTACCACCAGGTAGGTACAACCAATATTTTGACAGAGCTGCAACGAAAGCAGTGCCACGTCCAGGTATATAAATTGGGATTTCAATTTGTTTTGATACCTTGTCGAAATAAATAACTAACAGGTAAAATTAAATTATCACAATTTAATTATTTTAACAAAAACAAGCTTTATTACATTTCGCCGACGTTTCGACGTCTTTATTACGACATCCTTATATTTATATATGATTTTATAAGTGATAATTTGTAAAAATAATATAAGAATTTTTTAAATATAAAATTGAGAATGGTAGTCACTTTTATTTTAAATATGATATTAAAATATGTAATACAATACATAATATAATTTTATATTTAGAATATAAACGATCGGTACTACCAATTTTATACTTAAAATGTACTTATATTCGCAGTATCAAAATTTTTTACTTGTAAAATCCAGCACAGAGTATTGAGGATGTAACAAAGAAATATATTATATTTTCTTCTTTGTTATATTTCCTTATCTAATTCAGACCAAAAAAAGAAAAAGAATGTAACAATCGACGGTCACCAATATTTATTATTTAAAGTTAAATTCTCAATTTCAGCTAACCTACGCCTCCACGGCGTGGGGTCACGCGGCAAACAGCCATTTAAAGTCACTACAGGCTGTGGAAAACATAGCCCTCCGCACGGCCTCCGACGCGTCCTGGTACATAAGAAACACTGACATATTACGAGACTTACAATACACAAACGCTACACAGACAATAAGACAAATCGCGGAGAAACGGTTTGACGTAGCCGCTAGACATGACAATCCCCTCCTCAGGCAAGCCGTTGACTACGTACCCGACGTGACCGACAAACACAAAAGACCTAGACACCAACTTTTTGACCCTGGGTGACCACCCCAACGACATCCCCCCCCTGCCGCTAACCTTTTTTGTTTCAGAGACTGTCAGGATCAAGAAACGAGGACAACGACACACACACACACATACACACCCCTCATACCCTCCTTACCTCTCCCCTCCCGCGCTAGCCTAAGGGCCACCTTAGCAAAGCGCATCCCAGGCTGCATAACCGCACTACCCTACCCAACCATACCACACACAAACATGATACCACCCCCGGGGTTTACACAGACGAGCCGGCGAAGCAAGAAGAGCGCCAGAAGAAAGGGCCCTAGCCGGAAGGGCCCAGCCAGGACAAAAGGAGGTCCCACAAAGCTCCTACACCGGCCGCATTTGCGGTCCGGGTAGACGACGGATGGGGCCCACCTACGAAGGCTGTCCAGGCCTACACGAGATGGGGCAGGATAGAGAGGGATAATCCCTCTCGATCCTAAATCATTGAGGCCAATTTCTAGCCATGGGATAATGGCGCGGCGGATGAATGAGGAATTTGTTAATAATTTGAAATGGTGAGGAATTTTGAGGAATCACGAAATAGTCCCGAACACATGTTCCGATAGGTTTATATTCCTATTCCATAAATGAATAAATTCGCTTTTTAAATATACAAATTTATCGAAACTATTTTGTTTCTTCCTAACCTCACAAAAATCATGTAGGTCGTTCTGATGACATCACGTTCAGTCGTAAAAAAACGCAATTTCTTAAGAGTTTCTATAAGCTACCTGAAACGTAGAATTTCAAATTCTTTGTAAGTTCATAGAAAGTTACAGATTTGCTTACGAGTGTGTGCAAATCAATCCAAAAAAATCTGTCTATTACATTGGGTATTTTTTATTTCGACAGTAATACTGTATTTCTTTGTTTATGTGTGAGGAATTTTAAGAAAAACTCGACCTAATGCCGTACAAAAATAGTAATACCGGAAGCCAGGAAAATTTTTGATTTTCCGAAAATTTTGGCCGGGTTTTGGTGTATTTATTACAGTACGACATTTATACTGCAAGTTTTGGATCGATACATAGATAAATTTTTAAGCGACGCCGTACATACTTGCTGATACAGGGGTTAGGAATACAGGGTGCAACCCTCTATTTGTAAGTAGCTTATGGAGGGTGATATGAACCAACATCAAATTCACTAATTTTAATTCTATTTTATAAAATAATAACATTTTTGGCCATGCGGTACATTTTTCATGAAACATGTGCTTACTATAGGAAAATTAATTTCCCTCTGAAAAGTAGGATTTTAGGGTGAAAAAATTTGTGTACGGCATTAATATGTTTTGTTAATATTGACAACAATAATAATAAAACAAACAAAATGCCGTACAAAAAAAATGGTTTTAAATGGCAAATAAGTATTACTTGCAAGAATTGATTTTATTTTTACTACTATTTTCTCCTTAATATAAATTATCTACTACTATAATAAGACTTACAATATCATATAGAAATATTTTTCAGTAATGCCGTAACACATACATACATATACATATTACATATTTGTCGATACAGGAGTGAGAAACCCCGGATGCAAACCCCTATATTCTAACCCTTATGGTTTCAGATCACTGAAAAATGGTCGGCACTGTTGCTAAAACATTATTTAAGATGTAAAATAATTTTTAAGTAATACCTATGCCGTTAAAAAACCATAGGACCATATAAAAATTATTAATTTTATAAATTTGAAAAGCTTTCATATTAATATTTTTTTTCACAAGTACATATATAAGTAAAATTTTTTCAAAATCCAAAAAATTATTAAAAAATCAATAAAAAATCTGTATTCGAATATTTTAAAAAAAATTGCAAATGCGGGGGGTACTGTTACTTCAAAATAATACTTTCTTGCACGTCATTAAATTTCTAAATATCTCAAAATATTTTCTCAATTCTCTACACATTTTTTTTTTAACTTAAATACAATGTCATTCCACGGTACAAATTAAATTTCTCTTAAAATTAGAATCAAACTCAATTTAGACATATAGTTTCGGAGAATCATTCCAACGAATATGTACGGCATTGCAATTTTCATTCTTTATGTTATATTTCTGATGAAAATTTGTAAATGCCGTATAGTTATTAATGACCTAAAACTGTAAAAATTGAATGAAACATATTATCAGCTATGTAAAATCCACTAGTTAAAAATGTGCGGCATTGGTTTTTTGTTATTTTTTTTACTTGAAAAGTCAATTACAGCCATAATATTTTGAATATAACATTTTTAGTTAGTTAACAAGGAATTTTCAAAATTTATTTATTTGTTTTTTAATTCGAATTTTTAATTTGAACCATTAATTATAACCAGCCATTATTTAGTACGATAGTTTTTGGTTAATTAATGATTTTACCGAAAAAAAAAACTCAATTCCAAAATACAATTATTTATAAACTTTTGCATTAACCATAATTTTCAGACGGCACATATGCTAAGAATTATTTGGAGAGTTAAATAATCATGTGGAATCGATGCCGTACATTTTTCAATGACTTGAAACAATAGGCGCTAAAATAGAGGGCTGCGCCTTGCATTTCTAACCCCTGTATCAGCAGATACATACGACGTCACTAAAAGAGTTATCTACGTATCAATCCGAAACTTGCAGTATAAATGCCGTACTGTAGTAAATCACCAAAAACCGGGTCAAAATTTTCAGAAAATCAAAAATTTTCCTGGCTTCCGGTATTGCTATTTTTGTAGGCATTAGGTCGAGGTTTATTTTTTTTTGTATAACCTATATGCTTTAGAAATGTCGTACAAAAATGTTTTGCCGAAAACGACCCCCCTTGGTGGACAGTTTTAGCTTACTTGTGTACTCATCTGAATCAACAAGAATTGACGGCGTCGTTTCTAAAGTTATTGTTATATGTAGCAGTAACGATTTATAAGTAGTAATTCATGCTGGGTCAAATGACCCCTTGAAAATTTCCGATGAGCTTATAGTCTAGTTTTCAAGGGTTTTATTTACGAAGGAACACTGAAAGAAATGGGCTTATTAAACTGTTTATCTAGAATAATGTGTATAGCTTTTATTAAAAAAAAGCAATCATCTCCATACTCATTATTCAATCAGTTTAACTGGAAGGTGCTTAATACACCTTATGCATCTATGAAATAAAGGTTATAATGAATTACTTATACATTATTAGGTGTTATAGACTTTATATTCCAATTGTATAGTAGGGAAGATTTGTTGTATAAAGACCAGTATCCGAATTTGTATATAACAATTGTATTAACAGAATTATTTGTTCTTATACTGAATATGTTTCCGTTTTTAACGTGTAAAACGCATCTTATAATGGTTAAGTGATCGTCACCTCTCGGTGCATAATCGGTTATGATCGTTGTTAAGTTATATTCATAGTCTTGTAATAATAATCATATGTCAGACCCGAGAGCGAAGTGCGCCGACTCAATAAGAAACCTGGCTATTCCAGCCGCTGATTTAGGGTTCGCCGCACGAGCTCATCCCTTCCAAGATTTCAGTAGCATGCTATGCATGAAGCAGAACGGTACTCAACTATCTTATACAGTCCACTTTTATTGTCCATACATGTTCAATCATTGTCAAAATAAACACACAAAACCACAACGTCTTTATTATCTTTACTCAAGAAGAGAAAATACAACAATCGTAAAATTTCCGACAGTCCGCTGTGCATCGACTTACACACGTCTAGTTTGATGAAAATGGACAGTATATGCACATGTTTTGTGGGATACATGATCATATCGCGTTGTGTGAAATGGAAAATTATTATGTAAGTATCTAACTGTTTTATGGCTTGT